GCCGACGATATTGTACCTGAACTCTGTCGAATGCTTGGATGGGATCTACGTCATGAAAAACTTCCAGGTGGAAGTGCCTTGTCTGAAGAAAGTAAATCCATGAAGGATGACTCGAAACCTATTTGGAATCATCTGGCTGATGGATTATATACCTTTCCAGGTGCAGTACTGGATGAACATTGTTTTGATATGCAAAGGTAGGTTAGATAAATTAAATGATAAATGATAAACTAGACTCATCTTTTTTTTTTTTTCATGTTTGCTTTGATGTAGGTGTGGGTCAACTCACAGCGGTGTAGAAGAAAGTGATGATGATCAAACAACTGACCTGGTAGTAGCTGGTGGTACCTGTATAAACACTTGATTTAGCTCATATATACTCTTTACCTCTACCACATTGATAGTATTAAACTTGACTCATGTATGTTTTGTTTGTTTGTATCGTTTGTAAATAAATCTTACTTTTAACCATCTCTTGATTGGACCTGTCAAAAATAATAGGACATGAAAGGATGTGGGGTTTAAAATCGGGCTTTGAAAAAGATGGACACTTAAAAAAAGGGGGGGTGATGAATATCCTTTTCCTTTTTTTTTTTTTTTTTTTTTTTCTTTCCACTATTTATCTATTCTCAGAAATGCCATCCATTTCTATCACTTTATTGATAGGAATTATCTTTGTGGTGCTCATTTCAGCTATCAAGTTTGACATTCGTGCCTCTCCTTACGACGAACCTCAACTGACTGAACGATGCTTCTCCCATTATGTTCCCAAAAACACCAAAGTACTCGTAACCGCCACGATCAGTGAAGGCCATAACCAACACGTGGACTGTGACGTAAGTATAAAGTAGAATGCCAACTAATCAATTTCCTCTCTCATTCTCTTTATTTTGTAGATTTATGAAGATGGAGAAAAGCCTAATGTGTTTGCAAAGAAAAGGGACATTAAGAATGATTATACCAGTGCCTTTGACACTTTACAAGACGGTGAAATCAACATTTGTTTTAGCAATACATTGGATAAAGGTAATATGAAGAAGAAAAAAAAAAGACAACTGACCCTTATATCTCTCACCTCTTATGTTTTGATAACTAGGTTTTGTCCCATCGACGGATCATTATCGCTCTGTTGATCTGGAGGTGAATACTGGTGCTGAGGCAAAAACTATTGAAGAAATCACCAGGAACAAGCATTTACCTGACCTTGAAGAACAAACCCGGGTATTGGAAGCCATGGTGGGTGGTATCTTGAATGAAATGAACTACTTGAAGGATCGTGAAGCCAAACTCCGAAACACTAATGGTAAGTAAGGGATCACAAGAAAAAGAACTGACTTTTTTTTTGTTTTTGTTTTTGTATATAGAATCTACCAACGAACGTGTCAAATGGTTTAGTATAGGATCCTTAATTACTTTGATTAGTTTAGGTGGTTGGCAGATATTATACCTTCGCTCTTACTTCCGTAAAAAAAGACTTATCGATTGATAAAATAGTGATTATGAAATACATAGTTAATAAACTTGATAAGAATTTTTTTTTTTTTGGCTATTGGGTACTGTTTTATGTGGTGGCATATGGTATTTATTGTATGGGACATGGACCATTAGGAATGGGGTAATATACAAAAATAATTTCATGATGGTTTGGTTATTATGGAAGGATATCACTTCACTCTTTGATTTCCTTAGTTTACTGATTGTATGTCTCACACATGGGCGGGATTTGAATCGTGTATCTGCATGAATGTCGGGGATACAAATAACCCGTTGGTTAAAAACCGTACAACATTATGATACCTATTAAACCATCCTTGTATGATCTATTTATAAAAAGGGATCAAGATTGATCAAGATCATGCATATAATGGTGAGTATCAGCAAAACAAAACAACAGGGAATCGATTGTCACTTATAAAAAGTCTTTCAAGTCATGGTGAATATACAAATTGGTTTATTAATTGGTTATACATCTATATATAAAAACTACTCTATTCTTTACTATGTAGCCTATATATCTTTTATATTGTGATATCCAATTCTTTAACTTGGTTTGTAGTTTTTTCTATCTCCGAATCCGAATCCGAATCTGAATCCGATGAGATATCCGATAGAGAATCCAAGTGTTTCCAATGGTTGAGCAAAGTCATAGCAGTGACTAAGGATCGGAATTTGTGCTGGCTGTTTATTCCTTTACGTACAACAGGCGCCAAGTTGTTATTGTGAGGTATTTGTTGTTCTTCGTTGGTGATCCAAGGATGTTGTAACGCTTCTTCTGCAGTGATCCGTTTTTCCGGTTTAAAAGCAAGCAATCTATCTACCATGTCTTTTGCTGATAAGGTTTCACAATAAAAAGACTAGATTAGAATGGTGATATCAGGGGGGGGGGTAGGTGATTGATATGACTTACCAGAATCCGATATATCACTCCAGTATTCTTCATCGAATTCATATTTCCCAGACATGATGTTTTCAAACAGTTCGGTTTGATCTATAAAAAGCAAGCGTGAGTATATCATGATGAGCTGTGTTCAAATAGGGATTTCCCGTTTTACCTTCCCCATAAAATGGAGTATAGCCACACAAAAGGACAAACTATCACAAATGGCAGGAAAAAAAAAAAGATGAGTTCTTGTTTTGCGTTGTTTGTTGTGTGTTTCTTACCGTAATCACTCCTACGCTCCATAGATCAACAGGTTTACCATGACCTTTCTGTAATAAGACTTCGGGCTGGGTATTAAAAAAAAAAAAGTGGGATGGATTCATATAAGATAGGATGATTAGATATATGTATCATGACTTACCGCTACATATCCAGGTGTGCCGCAAGCAGTGGTCAATATATCATTATGATTTTTCATGATCTTGGATAGACCGAAATCTATCAATAGAAAGTTTTTTTTAAAAATAAAAAAAAAGTTGGTAATGGACACAGTATTTATTATATTCATCATTACCTGTGATCATCAGTCTGGCGTCCGGCTCTTTGGTTGCAAATAGAAGCTATTTATAACAAAAAGAGTGAAGATTAGTATCATCGCTTACTTTATCATCCACCCCACCTAAACTTACATTTTCTGGTTTGATGTCTCTTTGTAAGTAGGAATACCAATAAAATGTTATCAGTTAATAGTTTCAGGTTAATAAAATTGGTTTGTAATGTTTTACCTATGAACGATCTAATTAAGTATGGTAATAGCACAAGTCAATACATGTTGTCATACCACCCCCCCCTTTTATTTTTATACTTGCATCATGATCATGTAGATACTTGACTCCTTCCAGCATTTGGAGGATCAGATTTGCAGCATCGCGTTCATTATAGAAGCCTTTGTCAAGCAGTTGTTGGAAGAGTTCGCCACCACTAGCCAGATCAGTAACGATATAAACAGCGTCGACACTTTCATACAAAGCATGCATAGACACAACGTGAGGATGATGTGCCTTGGTCAATATATCTATATATATATATATATACAAAGGTTAATATTAAGGCTGGTAGAATCATTTTGGGGGATTTCTATACTGTACCAAGTTCACTATTGAGCATATGTTCCTTGCCTATCACAAGAAGAATAAGAATCATAATAACCACACTTTTTGTTTCTTTTTACCTGCAATAACCTTCTTGAGAATGATCTTGAGAGCATATGACTTTTTGGTTTTACGATGGATGCATTCTTTCACTACTGCAAAAGACCCAACCCCGAGAGTGTTTTTGGTTACTTCATAGTCCGCAATCAGTTTAGGTGGGTAGGCATCGGTAACTTCTTTGTTGTCTTCGTGAGTTTTCCTGAATAAGGCCAACAGACGTTTTATAATAGTTGACCTGGTCATGTCAAAGTGGATCGAGTGTTTAAAAAAAGGGGAAAGAGAGTGAAGAAAAAGGAAAAAAGTGTTTGCTTTTTTTTTTTATGTATGTCACATTTCATATCCCGCTTCAGGTCCATTGATCTGCCCAATCAAAAAAAATAAGATTAAAGCAAGATACAAGAAGTAGTTTGTTTATTGATTAATTAACTAAATGAGTCAATGATAAAATGTAATGACTATAACTATAACTGTATGTGTATTACTATTTAATCTACAAGTATGACTTTGTTAAAAGGATCTGTTTCTATTTCAAATCTGGCAGTCCGTCAATAATACCCGACTGATCCGATGAGAGACAATAATAATCCAAAAAAAGACACAAAGCCCAATTCCCCCCCTTTTTTTTTTTATCTCCATCATGAGCAAGACATTCCACCGTATACAAAACAAGCGCATCACCCTATGGTTTCAAAAGATAGTATCATTACCAAAGTTCATCTGGAAGAAACAGCCCTTTTCCCGAGACCCTATCAGTTCCAAGTCGTTTACTTTATTAAGCGGCCCACGCCAAGACCGAATCCTATTAGCACCATACCAGATTAATTTGTTAGTCTGGTTAGCCTTTTGTTTTCTTCTTACCATTGTCTATGTCTTTTACCAGTTTGGTAGATTGATTGGCTTGTTGGAAGTGCTCGTCTTTGGTGCTGATGATATTGTCCGTAGTTTATTCCGTTACATGTCGCTTTTTCGGCTGGGAAAATAAAAAAAGAAAGAAAGAAATTCAGGTCCCGTCTATTTTTTTTTTTCTTTTGGATGCCTAGTGAAATTTAGGGGAAGGATCCCATTGGGGGGATTTTTTTTTTTTTATCTGGCCATATTTAAGCAAACAAATACAGCATGAACCATAAGGGACTTCTTGAAAGTATTCACCTCGTTGGTCGATCTAGTTCTGTCGGGATTGGCTCATAAAACATTTCCATTTGCGTCCCGATCCTTCCATATCCATAAACTAGTTTTAGTTTATATAATCCCAAACCATTAGAATAGTATATGAATCTGTTTTTATTATGATAACAATAAACGACATCGATCAGTTCTTATTCAAAAATAATCATCTAGTGAGAACCCTTTAACGTACCACAGTTTACAATTGAAACTCCGCTCCAAGGCGAGATGCAAAAAGCCAACTATGATGAGAGTGGGATTCGAACCCACGCACTCGAAAGTACTAGAGCCTAAATCTAGCGCCTTAGACCACTCGGCCATCTCACCATACTTTTGAAGAAAAAATAAAAACTAATATATAAACCACAAAAGCGGAGTTAAAAATTAAATCAATTTGATTGGTCAATTAAGTGCCGTTTTACTGTGATTGGGTAGTTGTTGCCGGGTATGTGTCATCTAAAAGGAGTTTACTTTGAACAAAAAGAGTTTAATATGCACTGACATAATCATTTCAAAAATTATAATAAAAGTCGAGCAGTACGAAAGTGTGGTATACGATTTCCAAGACGCTATTAACATTACTCATAGCCCAGTTCTCGTTTTTAAAGACCGACCGAGCGGACTGCCTTGAAATCAAAAAAAAAAAAAAAAAAAAAAAAATCTGTCATTCATCGTCCTTCTTCCCACTTTTAAATTATCATTTCGTTAAATGGCATTAGAAGACGAAGATACAAGCAAATCGGATACTTTGTCACAACAAACAACCACTAAGCGAAATCTCGATTCTTATTCTACGGATTCTTCACTTAAAAAGCAATGCTCCGATTTCTCACGACTTGACAATGACACGAACAACGGCGGAAGCAACCCAGTTACGCCTAAAGATATAGCGCCACTACCACCACATGATAACGCCACAAGTACTTCAAACATCAGTCAGCCCTCAAACACTAATGGAGCACAACAACAAGAGACACTGTCTATATTTGGTGAATCGGATTCTGGTAAGTGTTAAAGCCTGTCTTTATAACATACTTACACTTTCTTTTGGGGGCGGGGGGAATGCGATTATATAGAACAAGATAACGACATTGATGTGGAAATCTTGACTGCAAGTGGAGGCTCATCAGATCTGGCTACAACGACTGACACGATGGAATTCACAATAAAAGAATCAGTAACCACGACTGATAACACGGAATCAAAGAAACAAATTCAAACAACAGGTTCTGTCAACTCGGCTACACCTCCAACAACCAGTACATCAGAGACGGGAATAGAAACACAGTCAGTGATATCATCACCAATAACTTCTGGATTAACAACGCCTCAACCTTTTAATGTGAATGAATCACACACCAGCACAGCACCAGCACAATCAGCATCATCATCAGAATTAGGCAAGGAAATGCCAACATCATTGCCAGAGACAAAGGACAATACACGATTCACAATCATCGATCGCTCCTCGGATGTACGATTACCATTCTCTGACAAATTCTTCTTTACTGAAGAAGCATATGAAGCCTACTCTTGTGATAGTTTTGCGGCCACTGTCGAACGTATGGTCAAGAAGAATAAACCAGGACTCGCTCTATCATCTGATCCATCAAAACCTACAACCATCACCGATACATCTAGTCAACAATCATCAACCAATGCAACAACATCTCAGTATCGATCACATTCACCAACCACACATGATGACAACAATAGTAATGGCGATAGTACTGATCATGGCGACAATAACACCAAAAATAACAACACATCTCCTGCTGTTGGTGACAATATGTTGGACTCATTACTTGATTCCATCTCCAAAAATGACAGGCCAGTGAAACAACCACCGCCTCTGCCGCCACCACCACCACCACCAAGTCGTCCTTTATCCGATATTGAAATTGCTATGCAGGCTGCCGATCTGCCTAAACCATAGTACTTACCCCTCCCTCAATAGCAATACAATTAGGATAGATTACCCCAAATATATATCTTTTTTTTTTTGAAAAAAATAAAGTTACATTGATTTGATTTATTTAAAAACCAATCTCCCTAACAAACATTAGGAAACCAAGATTAAAAAGATACATAATACCCTACATTCATTACATTATATAAAAATACAAATATTATCAATACTAATCTACGTTATTCTAGGTATAATACTATGTAACTAATTGACTATACAACTAAATACATGTTCCATCCTTCTATGCTGTTAATACTTGTTGTTGTTGTTGCCAGATGACCGATCGATAGTTGCGTACCTTGGTATTCCCAATCCCTCCAAATCCAAAAGCAGGCCCTATCCGACCAATCCGAGCCACAGCGCTTTTCAAGTATTCCGCACGCACCAAAGACACCCGTTGGCGTGTGGTAGCATCCGGCCGATTATAAAGATCCAAAGATAAAAGATGTAAAGGAGTGCTGAAGAATTGGACGAGAGAAGGGCAGGCGAGCTGAGCAGCGGCGGTGGCTCGTTCAGGTTGTGTACGCCAATATTCAGAGGAGGATTGCAGCCACGAAGAGATCATAGCTGGAGCATTAAAACTGGCCGCCACAGTCAGGGAATCCCGTAAAGCAAACAAGAGATAGGAAAATGTGGGGAAGGATCGAGATGCCGTGGTGCCGAACATTCGAGTAAACGATCGGTCCTTGTAGATGCATAGTCCCATGTTGATTGTCGTGGTGGCGATAAACTTGAGCATTGATGTCTTGCTGGGATCCACGCCATAGTATTCCGCTGTTGTGTCGACAATATTGGCTGTTGCGTAAGTGCTAAAGTAAAGACCAAGGACAAGTTGGAATTGACGTGAGACGAGGAATTGGTGAGGACGAGTCAGCACCATTCGTGCACCATAGACAAGACCTTGCGATAACGACCTTTTACCATTCATGTTTTCTATAATGGACCTAGGAGGGATACTGATGAGTCATATCACAGCTAAATACATTTCTCTTTTTCTTGTTTTACCTGTCAACCACGGCGATAAAAGGTGAAACCAAAGCCGAAGACGATGCAGCAGCTAAAAGGTCAACACCATATAGTTTGCCCAAAGTTTGTTGTGAATACGGTTTAATGTAGGTTTTAGAAGGATCCATATTGTGAGTAAAGTATGAATTCTATTAAAGTGGGGGAAGAGAGAAGAACCAACGACAAAAAAAAAAAAAAAAAAAAAAAAAAAAAAAAAAAAAAAAAAAAAAAAAAAAAAAAAGTTGAAAACATATAAGGGATTTTTCGGCGGGATTTGAAATCGAAGCCCTGAGGTGTTTCTCACCCCCTATCAGCACTGAGTCATAATCATCAACCCTCTTCATCTTACATGAAATAGGTAATCCCTTCACTTGCTTCATATTAATCATAAATCAAAGTAAATAGTCTATCCATTACCACTTCAATATCCAATACAATGAATCACCGGGTAAAATCATCACTTTTTCATTCCTTTTCTTTTTTTGACAGTTTAACTTGAATGAGTCGACCACTTTTTTATACGGTTGTCTTGAACGCATGCCAAAAAATGTAACCAGATCTTGGCCATCTGGAACAATTCTGTCAGATACCAAAAGTGTCAGGATAAACTAAACAACACCCAACCATATATTAGTAAATTATGACCCTTTCTTTTTCCAATCTAGCCTTTTTTTAAAAACGACTCGGAGTTTGGATTTCAAATCCCGATTTTTTTTTGCATGAATTAAGAAGCTCTCCCCCCCCAAAACCAAGTATTCAGTGACATAAATCAAGTACGTACAGTATATCAAATGAAATGATATATGGAATGCATGTATGAAAAAAAGTAACAAGTGCAAGAAGAGAGTGGTCATTTCATTCCACACGAGATTTGATTTGATTTCATTCTCCTCATGCGGTACACCATCCCACGATCGTTCATGTTGCCCATGTTGCAAAAAATAAAACTTGTTATCAAGGAGAAAGTAGACATTCATATAAACGATTATCGTATCAAAGGTGTTGTTGAAAAATGGGGTAATCCTATCACGATAAACATGTTGGTTTAAAAGGAGTCCATCAAAAAGCGCCGTTTGAAATGTCAAAGAGAGCGAGAGGGAGAGAACGCTGGGATCAAACAACTCACTTTTCTCCAAAGGAGAAGTGTGAGTATGTTCAAATACAAATGTAGTGATGAGCAAACACGAGCATGATGACATCCGAGTCTCCCTAAAAGAGTAGGTGTGTGTTTTTATAGAACGTGCTGGATTTCATTTTTTCAAAATCGAGATTTAAAAATACGTGTCGGGATATGAAGTTGACGCACAGGTAACAGGGACTCTCTCTCTCTTCATTTTGACGGTTGTTAAGATTATTGTGTTGTTAATTTAGCTTGCTATTATCTATTTTGGTCTTTATGATAAATGAAATAAAGAGTTTACTTTTCATAATGTGGTGATTTGGGATAGATTAAGTATGATTCTCGTTCATTGAAGTGGATCATCATCATCATCATTTTTGTCCGTTATGCTGTACTACATGCCCATATTTACCGACTAGAGAAGATAGAGAAACATACTGATGCCAGTTTAGGACATATTGTAAAATGAAAACTTTATGAGTAATAAAGAGCAAAGGAATAAAAAGGGGGAGGAAAGAAAGGTAGATCAGATCCACCAGTCTTATTCTCGAGTTTCTTTCTCTTTTTCTTTTCGATGAGCGTTTTTTTACTGCTTGAGAGAAAGAACGACAGAAAATAGGAGTTTCGACATGTTTCTTCCTCCTCTTTCATTTTCATTATACATGATAAAAAAGAAGGGGGTTAAGATAGATAGATGCTCATAAGGGGAAGGGATGCACAACCTAAATGAGAACTTGCGTTCTGTTGAGAACCGGGGTTTAAAAATCGTGCATATATATAATGCATAAAGAAAACTAGGGATAAGCTCTCTCTCGTTTTCTATTCTTCTTCTTTATATCAAGCCTTTTCTTTACCTTATTACTTTATACTATTATGAATCACTTTGAGCAACAGTCATCATCCATTGCTCCCGAGAAATTACCAAGCATTTCAGTTTTACCATCATTTCCGGAGAATGGATCATCTGTAACTTTTTCTGACCAGCGACCCCCACATAACGATTTATATCAAAATGTCGTTTCACCTCCTTTGACACCAGCAGTTTCACCTTCTTCTATGCTGATGGATAATCTAAAGTACCAAAGAAAGTATTCGGTAGATGTTGGTCCTTTTAGTTTTGGAAGTGGTAATGTCATGCTTCCCCATCATGTATTACAGGAGGAATACAGACGTGGTTCAACCTGCTCATCTGATATGACACCCAATCATTCTTCTCTTCATCACCGTCATCAT